GAAAATGTTAAAAAAGCCAAAAATTTATTAAATGCTTTAAACAATTGTACTTTTAAGCTCTATTTTTCGTTTTTGTCGTATATTTTAGATATAGTTAATAAAATAAACCTAGAATTTCAATCCGAAGGTTTTAAAATGCATGTTTTGCTAAGTAGGATTACAGCTCTTTATAAAACTATATTAAGGAACTTTATGAACCATGCCTATATTAATGAAAGGCAGTTGAATCAAATTGCTTTTCATCCAGCCAACTATTTACCTCTAAATGATATATATTTAGGCGCTAAATGTGAAGCTATTATTGTTGAAAATCACATTCCTGATACTGAACTAAACCAATTTAAGATATCTTGTTTAAATTTTTACGTGGAGTTATGTTCTGAAATTAAGAAAAGGTTTAAATTTGACGATCCAGTACTAGCTTTTGCAAAAAATTTAGACCCTAAAATAGTAACAGTTTCACCCGAATCTGTTGTGTCTATATATTTAAAATTTAAACTCTCATTTCCATGTTTTGTTGAAAAACACTGATAAATCTGTTGAGGATTTCTGGACTATTATATTTAACATGAAAAATTCTCTTGGAGATTTAATGATTCCAAATTTGACGATTTTTGTTCGAGCGCTATTGTCTCTCCCACATTCTTCGGCGGCCGCTGAAAGGAAGTTTTCAGATTTAAATTTAATTAAAACAAAAAACAGGAACAAATTAGAAATAAGTACATGTGATGCTCTTTTACATACTAAGTCTCTTTTATCCAGTACCAAATGTTATAATTTTCAACCCTCAGAGCATGTCTTAAGCCTAAATTTTAATTCAAACGCACAGGATGAAGAACCTGATACCCTTACATTTTAAATTATTATAATGTTCTTACGTTTATAAAGTTTTTTAGTTCATTTTTAGTCTGTTTTATTTTTGTTTTTATAGAATAAATTTTATTTTTTTGAAAATTAATTGTTTTATTTGTTTGGTTAAAAAAATGTTTTCAAAAACTGTTTCAAATTTCAGAAAAACAGCTTGATATAAAATTTAAATCTATTACAATTTATTACAATTTTGTAACCAATTCTAGTACATCTGCCTTACATCAAAAGCACAACGCTGCCGCCAAGGTAGAGCACCAGAAGAAACAGAGGGAGTCCCTGGTCAAAGAATTGGCCTAAGCCTTCGGGACTCGTTGGGCCACTGATAAGGAGGATGCCGGACGCCTTGAAGATGCCTGTTCAGTACCGCCAGCACCAGCGGTACAGAAGGGCAGGGAGTTGACCCGTCTAGCGGATTGGGTGGAGCGTAGTCCGAGCAACTGGAGCCCTGAATTAATCAGAGCTCTAGTCGCTCTTAGACCCGCTAACGCTCCGCCTAATAAGAAAATTCGTTGGAAATTGAGGACGACCGCGGAGAGATATCTATACATGTGAATCTACCGGGGGCGGACGGCACCGTGAAGACTCATTATGAACCGTTTTAAGTTTGATTGTTTAAATTAAATTTTTAATTTTTTTTGGATCGAATGACGTGTTTTTATTTTTTTTTTTCATTTTATTATGCGTGTATTTTTTTTTATTTTTCGGAATAAATATGTTACCCCTGTAATGAAGTCCCTATATTTTTTTATTTAATCTGTTAAATGCTAGGCGTGAGCATAAATCGAACACGGAATGATAGCCCGGCGCAAATGTATTTCGGTGGTACACCGAGGAGCCAGGGTTCGAAGCTGCCTTGGGACATAACGTTTTAACATTGAAAATGTTTCTGTTATCCTATATAAGGGAGCCCAAATCGAATTAAAATGCTACATTTGCCACACCATGACGTCATATATACAAGGGTATAGGAAATCTCGGCGCAGCGGCGGCAGTCGGCCAGCGCGCGCAAAAGCCATTACATCGCTAATTGTTTATTGATATATCTTTATTAGTTTAAAGCAAAAAATATGGGGTTTGCTTTGCGATACGCTTCAGTCAAGACATAAGCGAAACTTTTAAAATTGTTTCTTTTTTTCATTTAGGTCTTCGTTTTTCGCTAAATAGAAAGTTATATTAAAAAAGTCTATTTTAAACCAAATTTTCGCATGATTGGAATGAGTTATTCATGTTTAGTTTTTTTGGTCATAAGCGCTAATGGAAATGTTTTTTGTAAATAATTATAAAAAAATTACACCCCTACGAAGACTTTTATTGTGTACTGGATCAAAGAATAAGTATTTGTTTTTCTCTATACAGTGAGGTAGAGTAATATATCGATTTTTGATGATAGTGCCCTTTTACCCGGTCTAATTTTGTACTACTTTCGGAATAAGGGTCCCCATATCATGTACTGTACTTCCATCCCTGAAAAATTCAGCTTGTGACACCGAAGTGAGACGTAAAGTCAAAATAAGCTTTAATCTACCTACATCATAGGTAGGTGTAGGCAGGGGGGTGACAGTAAACTGGAAAATTGGAAACAGTTGTGGCGCGGTTCTACCCAGGCAGAAAGCATGGCCTTCTAGACTGTCCTAGACAAAAATCTGAATATTTCTATATGATTCCTGTCAATTTCTGCTACGGAACATTTTTATGCACGTCGGCGTCCTGTTCTTTTGTCTTTTGTCTGTGTGTCAGCGTCAGTCCCTCGAGGCCTCTGGCAAGGTCGGGCGCCATTTTAATTTTTGCCGTTTAGATTTGATTGGAAGTTTGTTTCTGATATTTCGGCTGAAATTTATAAGTACAAAGATGTTTTTTGATATAAAGTTCCTTGTTAACACTTTAATAAAGTATATATGATATTAATTACATGAAGAAAATGATGAAATCGACGTTTCTGCGTGTAGCAGGTATGGGCCATATTATAGGTAAAAATAGGCAATATATTAACTGTTTTTATATTTTTTTAGCTTTAAACCCAAGGATCTTGGGATATTCTTTGCCAAGGATTTTTCCGTATCTCTACTTTAAAGACTGATCGGTGATTTTAAGCAATTGAAAGCAAGTTATACAAGGTAAATTATGATTATTGAACTATTATTAGCCTGCATTAAATTTCTACAAGATGAACAGAAATGCGTAATTACATATCACATAGGTACCTATTATGTATTTTCATAGCAATAATGCTATAAATCTATGTATGTAGATTATTTTTAAAATACAAATGAGGTATTAGATGTATATGTATCATATTTTTTATTCATTTTATTTTCATTCAAGTCCTGTTTGATTTAATTCACAAAAGTCTTATGTAGGTACCTATATTTATATTTTTACATATTTTTTTGATTCCAGGTTTTGTGTGGGGTCCGGTTGCCTTTTTCCTGCTTCCAGTTATTTAGTTTTATGCCCGTGAAGCTGTGAAAACATTTATTTATCTTCAAGTTTCTGTAAGTCAATGCACTGTTACTTTACTAATTCACTTTAACACAGCATCTCTGATATTATTTAAATATTTAATATTGATACAGTAGTTTATTGGTTTATAGCTCTTTAATTGTGTTGATTTGCATATTTACATTGTTCTAAATTCCAAATAAATATTTTTGAGTAATTTTGTTGTATTATTTACTACTAGAAAGAGTAAAAAGTATATTAACCCTCATTTAAACCTCCTGAACAGCCCGCCATTAAAAACCGGAAACGGAAATAAATTTCATAAAATTGAAATTGTCATGTCTATGTCATGTCAAATGTCCCAGCCGCCATATCTGAAAATTAGTTACCCAGGCAGCCACGCTGTTTCCATAATTTAACATTGACTTGACACTTCTTCTTGTATTTATTATTTTATGGGTGTAGGTACTCTAGGTATATTCTACCTAGACAGTAGCTGACAGTAGTAATTAATTTGTTATCCGATAAGTAGTTGTCATTATATAAGTTTAATCGTCTTATGCCCGATTCTACAATGCAAGTATAAAAGCCAGTATAATTATTCTACTGATAACCTATACCCCGATTTATTCCAAGTATAACTGGTTGTCGGTTTTACAATCGTTTTTTATAATCGGTATAGTTATTCCAAGTATATCTCCTTGGTAGTTCCAATGAACTAGCATTTTGACATTTGACATTTTGAAAGGCGGATATTATCTGTGGTATTATACACTATAACCTGACTTTCAGCTCTGTTTTCAGTAACGTTTTAGTGGTTTTCATGGGTAGTTCTTTATCTTTAGCGGTCAGAGTAGCGGTTTCATTTCATTTTTGTTTCTTGAGTGTGTGGTTTGCGAGCGAAAGCTAATATAAGTATGGAGAAAAAAAACGGTGTAATAATTTACAGCCGACGAGACTGAAGTTTTACTGAGCTTAGTGGAGGAATCTCAGCTTATTGTAGGCAAGTGCAGCATATTGGATTTCTTTTATAAAGGACATCCGGTATACCGGACATCCTTTGGAATTGTATTTTCATATTACTTATTTTATAGAATGCAAGAAGACAGATACGATTAACAACAGCAGAAAAGAACTAGAATGGAAGAAGATTGAGACTAAATTTAATTCGATGTGTGCAACAGCACGAACTTCTAAAATGCTACGTAGCAAGTGGGATTCTCTAAAAAAAACCACCAAAAAGGAATACGGAGAGTACAAACAAAGTTTATATAAGACAGGTGGTGGACCAGGAAATTCTGACTTTAAAATGTCAGGCTATATGAAACGTATTTTGGCTGTAGTTCGGATTGGGATGTCTGGCACTTGTTCTAAGTTTGATTGCGATTTTGGTAATATTAGTTACTTCCATAACTAAAAAACTTGTTATAATGACATTTATATTTTTTAATTCTAGATTTACCTAACAGTAGTAATAAGCTACTCACTGAAGACTCTAGCAGCATTTCCTCTCAGGTCCCTATTGTACCTACTGAAGTAATAAGTAATGAAGATATAGCAGCAGAGGAAATAACTATAGATAAAGACAGTTCTGATGCAGCTGAAATTGTAAGTAATTGAATTTAAAATGTTCTTTAAGTGCATAAATAATTTTAGATAAGCTTGAGCAGTTGGCAGACGTGGAATCCACACAGCAGTTGAGGCAGCCGAAAAGTATCGAGTTGACAGTTCCTGGTAAGAATTTTCATAACTGATTGTTAGGGTTTACTAAATGAATATTATTCTCCTTACAGAACCAAATAATACTGATTTAGAAGACACGAATGAACAGGTGACAAAAACTATTGAGTAACCCCATGCTGTACGATAATATACTTGTATGTCATTAAATTAGTTTTATGTACTAATAATATTTTTTAGGCTCTAATGATGTCAAAAAAAAAGGAGGAGGGTTAGTAAAGTGGAATCCATTGGTTCCAAATTAAAAAATAAAGGGCAATTCATTTTGAAACACTTCAAGAGGAATTACTGAAGAAAAAAAATTGCCCTTGTAGAGTTACAAACTCAGGTTCTGCAAAAGAGAGGGAGCAGAAAAAGGCCTGATTGAGGCACAGATCAAAATATTAAGGGAGGAAGCAGAACAAAAAAATAAATATTGCTGAAAAGCACAAGTTAGAAATAGATATATTGTTAGCTGAATTAAAAAATAAAAACTAACTTCTATTTAAGTAAAAGAATTGTTTCGTATATTTATTTATTCTATATAGCCTATATATTCTATTCATATAGCCTATCACGGAAGAATATAAAAAAAATAATATTCTTCCGCAAATGTTTCTATAATAGGTATCAAAATTAAAGTATACTTTTTAAAATTTAAATATGTTACAAAGCCAGAAGAAACTTCAAATTCATTGTAGTGCCTATTCTGAAAATTAGTAAATTAATACAGTATGTCCCTGGATTGTCTTTACAAAAGGAAAGCCTTTTTTATTATTGGCATTTTAAGAAAAATGCATTCTTCATAAAAATTTTGCTTGTTCTAAAATGGTTAATCCTGTTTATACTTTTCCAAATTTCCATACCGTTTTAGAGAAAATTAGAAATGATGCTTAAGGTTAAAGAAAAGGTCATGCGTGTCATATAAAAATGTGTTTATATTACAAAAAGAATATATAGTTTTCATAAATTTGAAAAATGGTTGAGAATGAGGGATGCCCGCATTCGGTTTTGTTCTCGAACCATACCTACATTTGCAACAGGTACTGGTATGTCTACTTCTTGAACGTCCATTTCATGAGGTGGTTCTTCTTCATGTTCCTCAATTGCCAAATTATGTAGAACTGCAGTTGCTACTATTATTGCCTTTGAATGGTCCAATGATACACGCATCCCTAAAGATAAAATGGGAAATCTTCTTTTCCATACCCCATATGACCTTTCCACACAGTTACGTGTACGAATGTGGGATTCATTAAATAGAGCTTCTGCTCGAGTATTTGGATGTTCCAAAGGTGTGATTAAAAAGTTGGTGTTGCCATAACCACTGTCACCCAAAAGCACCGATGTTCCAAATCTTCCACTTTCCAATGTTCCTTTAAGTCTGCTATTATTATAAATAGTCTGATCATGGGAAGAGCCAGGCCAGCGAGCAACAATGTCCATTATCCTTAAACGAGCATCACAAACTGTTTGAACATTCCATGAAAAGTACCCTTTTCTATTTCTATACCTCTCCGCTTGATCACCACCCGGTGAAATAATGCGTACATGGGTACAATCAATAGTACCAATAACTTTAGGAAACCTTGCAATTGAATAAAATTCTTCTTTTATCCTCTGACACTCCATTTCTCCCTCTGGTAATTTAACAAATCTTGGTCGCAAAGAAGCAATAGCCTCTGTGACCTGAGTCACAATGACACAGGCAGATGTTTTGCTTACCCCTGTGAAATCACCTGTGGTAAGTAGCATACAACCTGTAGCATAAAACCGCAAAGTTAGAAAAATTTTTGTCTCAGGGTGTATGGCATTATTGCGATCTGTTGCTGATGTTATTTCATCTCGAATTAAACCTAACAGCATAGCACAGGTCTGTTTCTGCAACCGAAAACGCTTAAAAAATTCTAGTTCATCATATTCTTCAAAATAATTGGGCCTAAAACATATTTTTTAGTTAGAAACTCTACGTATAAAATTGTAAATTCCTGACTATTACCTGACTTTGAACACTTTAGGATTCCTGTATAATCTGAACTCCTCAATTTCATCATCAGATTCAAAATTATTAGGCAAATTGAAAGGATCCATTTAAATATTTGATGAACGTACCGAATTTAACAAAAAAATACAGTCTCTTAAACAAAACAAGCAAGTTAGGTTAAGTTTTTTCCGGAAAATGACGTGAGGAAACGGAATGGCACCAACCAATAGGAAGGCAGTATAAACTTATTCCTGGGATATACCATCAAACTGGAAGAGATAACTTACACCAGGTTTATACTTCAGATAAATTTATCGGTTGTATTGTAGAACGCAATAATGAGCAGTTTTCTAAGGTATAGCTTATTCTAGGTTTATACTTGAATTGTAGAATTGGCCCTTATACCTCCTATAACGGTAGGTTTTGGATTTTTTCCTGATTGGTTTTTCTTGATTGGTTTGGATTAATTTATTATACACCCCTTAACCCAAACACTCCAAGGAGGATATTTCGTGACCCCTTATTTAAAGTGGACAAGCTTTATTAGTCAATGTTTTAATTACCCAGCGTCTTTAATAAAAATCTAATGTAATTTTTCATAGAAATGATCTGACATAAAAAGCAAATTTTATCTAAAAACTTTTTGATTATCTACAAGGAGTAAACCGCTGACAAATGTCTGTATACTAATGTCAAAGTAATGCCAAAAATACAAATTAAATACCAAAATTTCTCATATAATGCCTCACTAATGCCAAGCTGATTACAATATAATACCACTAATAGCACGAATAATATGTAACACATTTGTTTAACGAATTAACCTGTAACAATAGTGGTAGGTACGTGCACAGATTTTTTTCTAGGTAACTTAAAAGTCGTTAAAAAGATTAATTATATTTAAAGAAGATATAATTCCAACTAATTGCATTATAAGGCCAATAATGCATAAGTAATACCATTAAAATTTTAGCGTTTTTAATTTGTGTAACATATTTCTTTAAAAAATTAACCTGTAACAATAGTGGTAGGTACGCGCACAGATTTTTTCGCTAGGTAACTTATTAAGTCGTTAAACAGGCCTATAAAAGCTATAACAACATAGGTAACTAATATTTATAATTTCATTCGAGTTTTAATCTCAAATAATAAATGTTTTTACTGGTGTATTTCTGAAGTGTTCATTATTAAAAGTAGATATTCTTCAAGTTATGTGAAGTAATAAGTAATGTTTCCGGTGAGACCGCGTATATGTCACCGGATTCTGGTTAGTATAAAGACTTTTTTCTATAGAAAGAGTTTTTTCTATATTTTTCTTTCAAAATAAGACTAATTTCTTCTTATTCTTTTAAATGTTACAGTGTTTCTTTTTCCTAAAATGTTATACTTAATTTTCGCTTAAAATTAAAAAATCACAAATGGAGGAAAATATAAGTTATTGAATAAAGTTTATACAAATCACTTTACCATAACAAAAAAGTAAAAACATGTCATGGCGGAAGATATTCAGGTGGCATAATAATAATAAACTTGCGTAACATGTTATACACGAGATAGAAAGTTTCAGAATCGATTAATACGCAATACGCTACGCAGTCAACTTGTTCCTATGCGCGGATGAGCGTCTTCAAGACTCTTCCATTGGCCAGGGTCACGACGCCGCGCGCCGCCGAAGAGGAATCGGCCTACGTTTGGCTAAACAGGCTGGACACGGTGGACAACGATATTGGCGAGTCTGAATATTTATAAAAATTTGCAAAGTAAAATATGTTGAAAAAATAATTAATCCATACATATAAAAAAGCTCAAAGGGTTTTTTTGTTGCATCCATCCCGCCGAAACCGCTTCACCAATCTTGATGATTCTTTTTTAAATGAAAGGTATATATGTGTAGATTTGTTATGAAGTATTTTTATAGTGCTTAATGGCTATTTCGTTGTGTAAAACGACTAAATACTACCTGAAAAACACCTACACACAATACCTCCAGAAATAAATTATTTGTCATTGTCAGTGGTGTATCATTGTCAGTGGTGTGATTAGCACAAATGTTCGTTTAAACGACATTAGTGAATGAGCTACACAAAGCGATTTTAGGAAATTCATCCTCTTAGAGAGTAAAATTATGTCGGAACAGTTTGTTGTATGAAAATTCCATACTATTTGGTCTAGAAGAATGAAATCCTACAAAAAGAATTAGAAGAAATTTTTGGAATTCATCAACCAAATGGATAAAGTTAGTAAAAATTTATATAAAATTTGGTGACCTCTGGATTATACACATAAAAATTGGCACAAAGATAAAGCGAATTTATGAAATTTATACACTTAGGGAGTAGAATAGGGAATGAAAGTTTGCTGTACGAAAATGCAATACTATAACATTATAAACCAGGCAGTATAAAATTTTATACAAGGGTTTATTTAGTGACATCATAACGAAATATATCTTCCTCAATTATCCTTCAAAGAATTAAAAATAACCTATAAAGAGAGTATTAGTGCTCTTAATAAATAAAAAAAAGATGCAAAATAAAAACATCTATGCTCACTAGCTCTCTATAAAGAAGTAAAAAATCATTTAAATCAATGCATGAACGATTCGAGGTGTAACGCGACCGTAGTCGCGGGAAAAAGCTAGTAATTTATTAAATTATTTTATTTAACTCATTAATTTTCATTGAAAAGGAATTTTTGTAATTCGCCACTATAATAGTTAAAAACTAAGAAACTCATATCAAATTTAAGATTTGCGATTTTGACTTCTACTTTTTACAAAATCTGAACACATTTTAAAAGAAAAAAAGCTAGATAGTGTAGATTGACTACAAGTTGTATAACATAAATTGTCTACCTAGTGGTCTGCAGCATCGCCTTGTGGTGCAAACGTGGGCATGTTAATCTGTGACGTGACGCACAACAGCCAAGAAAAACAGAAGCGTGGCTAAGAATTTAGTAATTTAAAAAATATCTTTAGATACAGTAGTAGGTATTAAAAAGTTTTGTGTTTAAATGGGGTTTGCCTTTGACAGTTAAAAAATTATATCGTAAAGTGTAACTTTCCGTAAGAACTCTTTATCTGTCATCGATCATGATCTGTCATCATGTTAACCTGATGTTTTGTATGTTATTTTGTTTTTTTTTTGCTTGTTTGTTTTACGGATAGGTGCGATCGCATAATTATTATTGATAATGTTTTATTTAATGTTAACACTACTACTTTTTCAGTGAATCTTTAAATCTGTTGTTTTTTGTCAAGTTCGTTATTTAAACATATGCATGTAC